CTCCATACCACTTCTTATCCCTTACTATAGCGTAAAAATTCCCCACAAGAACTAGCTCTGCATAGGTCAAGGAAAATGAGTTGGTATATTTTCTTTTGAAAAGTGAACTTTGGGGGTTTGTCAGAAGTTGAGCCTTGCAAAGTACTTCCTATAGAAACAGGAAAAGGTTATCTTGATCTACTACATACAGACACTAGGCCCTATGTAAGCTTTGGGTAAATAAAGACGACCAACAAGCTTCAGATCTGCAACATGATTGGAAGCCTGTGCATAAACAAACACCCTGGAGATATTGGAAAGCAGATCTTGCCTCCTACTAAATAGTCACAACCTCAAAGTTGTTCATGTAGACCAGTTGTATAAATGCCAAGAAAAATATTCCAATGATTATTTGTTCTATTTCACAAAGCCAAGAGTCCTCAGCTATCACAACACCCTAGTGTTTTCAACTTTTTCTTAGCATTAAATTCATTTGGTGACCTCAATTGTTTAGAGGTTGTGAGTATGGATATCAGACAAAAAAGCTGGACTGCTGTGGTTGAAGCTGGGTGAGGAAGGGTTAAATTTACCTCCCTGAAATGCAAGATGCAATTTCAAAGCCTTAGCTCCAGAAAAGTGGTTCACAGCCCTGGGTTCACACGAGAATCACCTAGAAACAAATCCTAATGCACTTAGGGATTCTGATTTAATTAGTCTAGGTGAAAGAGCTCTGGGATAATATGTTTTAAAAGCATCCCAGATGATTCCATTGGCATCAAGGGTTAAGAACTGCTGCCTGAGAGAAAGACTGTTTATGAAAAGCTTCATTTTACTAAGAAGGGTCTACTTATAGTAAAATTGCTGTCAAACCAGCAGTTGGGGGTTCACTGCTGTTGATTAATCAAATAGTTAATTAGATTTGGCAAGTTTACCATGAATCAAAACCAATTTCACATGGAATTATAATACAATAGTATACATATATTACAAAATTCAGACTGAATATTTCATTCAGCCGACATTCATCCAGAAATTATTTCTTGAGTGGCACACTCTATGTAAGGTGCTAAGAGAGAAACACAAATGATTCTTATTCTAATCTTTTCTGCTAAAGAACTATTAAGTATTCTGTGGGAGGTAGACGTTTCTAACATGAAACAAAATCTAAAAACCAAGAAACAGTGAAGGATCTTACATATCCTTGAAGTCATTGTCAGGTCATTGGTGGATTAAAAATGACCACAAATTCTAGCCACCGTTCCTATCAAAAAGTAGCATCTGTTTTCCTCTCCCCTCATATCCAGGTTGGCCCTGTGACCTTTGACCAATAAATACAGCAGAAGTGATTTTGTGCTAGTTATAGGCCCAGACTTTAAGAAATTTGGCAACTTCTACCTTTGTTCTGCTATAGCCTTCAGCTACAATGTAAAGTTACTTTGCTGGAGAGAACACAGGGAAAGTTAGAAGCCTGGTTAATGTTAGGATGTTAGCCATCCTGAACAAAATGCTAGATATGTGAATGGAACCATCTTGAAATGTAGCCTTGAAGGAGCCCATGTTAGCTATGTGGAATAGACATGTAAGAACTAAGGCATTTTGGCCAGCAGTCTTAGATTAACTGTTAGATCAATACAGTCTCATAATTGAACAAGTGAGACCAGTGGAAGATCACTCTTTCAACTCACTAAATCCTGAGAAACAATATATAGCTTTTTAAAAATGACATTATGCTTTAGGGTCTTTTGTTACACAGCAAATATAACTGATGCAGAAGTTGGTAACTAGAAGTGCAATGCTGCTGTAACAAAAATCTAAAGCAGGCTGGGTGCAGTGTCTCATGCCTGTAATCCCAGCACTTTGGGGGGCCAAGGTGGGTGGATCATTTGAGGTTAGGAGTTTGAGACCAGCCTGGCCAACATGGTGAAACCCCATCTCTAATAAAAATACAAAAATTAGCCAGGCGTGGTGGTGAGTGCCTGTGGTCCCCGCTACTCTACTTGGAGGCTGAGGCAGGTTAATCGCTTGAACTTGGAAGGCAGAGGTTGCAGTGAGCCGAGATCATGCCACTGCCCTCCAGCCTGGGTGACCGAGTAAGGCACCATCTCAAAAACAAACAAACAAACAAAAAAACTAAAACATGTGGCACCAGCTTCAGATCATGTAGAGCAGGTGGAAGTTGGAAGGGTGGCAAGGAGACTACTAGTGGAGGTTGGAAAAGCAGTGAAGTATTTGCTATCAGAAGCTGGAGAAAGCAAAACTTAGGCAGTGCTGGAATTGTTTGGAAACATTGTTGCCTGTGGTTACCTGGAAGACAGAAAACACATCAATGAATTTATGGATCTGGCTAAGAAAATTTTGAAGCAAAATGTCAAAAGTGAAAGTCAGCTTATTTTAGCCACCTATAATGAAGCATGGGAAAACAGAAATGAGCCAAAGAAGAAATTATTCCTTTTTAAAACAGAATTGAGAGAAAATGTTTCCATATCTGGACGTACTAGTTTGGAAAAGAAAACTGATATTTATTGCATCTCCATGAGAAAAAAAGTTCTCAAAATAAGGAGTCGTCTCAAGGTAAAGATTAAATCCATAGTGCTGACACTCAGATATTCTCAGAGTAAAGACTGAATCAAGGTTACATGACCTTGATTTGTGGTTGTGCAACCCTTTCATAATACTTCAAAAAAATGTAAGATTCTTCAGAGCATTTCCCCACAGCACCTGACTTGCAGTCCAAAGGGGGAAAAATGCCTATTCTGATGATGTTTATAGGTGTTTTTTTTTTTTTTTTCTTTTGTGAGACAGAGTCTTGGACTGTTGCCCAGGCTGGGGTGCAGTCAGTGGTGCTATCTCAGCTCACTGTAACCTCTGTCTCCTGGGTTCAAGTGATTCTCCTCCTCAGCCTCCCGAGTAGCTGGGACTACAGGCACAAGCCACTATACCAAGCTATTTTTTGTATTTTTAGTAGAAACAGGGTTTCACCATGTTGGCTAGGCTGGTCTTGAACTCCTGACCTCAAGTGATCCGCCTGCCTTGGCCTCCCAAAGTGCTGGGATTACAGGCATTGAGCCACTGCACCTGGCCAGGTGTGATGTTTATTTAATAAAGTGAATTTGCAATTTGATGAATAGAAAATATATAACATTTTAAAGAGAATTTTTATTGGTAAAAGTCTCACCAGTTTTGACTAAAAGAGACAGGAAAGTACAAAATAAAATGAGGCTTCCAGGCTCTAAACTTTACAAAAGCAGAAACCAGGCAGAGAAAGTTACTCAGCTGTGAACCTGGGCCTTACTTTAGGGAAAAGAAAGGGGTTCTCCAGGGATAGAGCCAAAATCCAGAGGGTGGAACCAAGAGCCACCAAGAACAGCAGATTGAGAAAAATAAGCCAAAGAGCCAAATGAGAAAGGAGAGAGCAGACAAGCACCCTAATCAAGGAATAGTCTCTGTGCTGTAGTAGGAGATCTAACAACCTCTCCCCAGATGAATTTCAAAATTACTGTGGGCCACAGGCTGCTATGTGCTTCCCTTTCCTCCCTTTTTGAATGGGAGTATCCCTTACTCTGTCCTCTTTGTAGGCTGAGTATCAGGGAAGAAAAAGAACTTGTGTGTTTAATTCAGAGATCTTTAGATAGAGAAGAGCCACAGTGATTGGCTGTACCCAGGGAACAGCACCTTAGGAACCCCTTTTATATCTGAGCCTGATTTGAATGAAAATATTCTGGATCTCAAGTATGAGCCTGATGCCATAGTGGAATAAGACTTTTCAGGATGTTAGGATGGAATAGTGTATTTTGCAGATTAGAGGAATATAAATGATTTAGATTTAGAACTATAGAGATAGCCACAAATTCTATACTTTCCTTCCACTGATGGAAGCTCCACTGAGATGGAGCTTATTTTCCCTCCTCCTTCAATCTGGGATGGTATTGTGAATTTCTTTGTCCAACGGAATGTAGCAGAAGCAATACCAGTTTAGGCTAGACAAAAAATTAGCAACCTTTGCTTTAATGGAGTTTTGAGCCACCATGTAAAGAGGTTCAGGTACCTTGCTTGAGAGGACACATGGCTGATTTCCAGCTAGTCTAGTTTCCCAGCCAAAATGCCAGACATGTGATGAAGCCATCTTGGAATGCTGTTTGGAAATCATCATGTTGTGCGGAAGCCCAAGCTAGCCATAAGGAGAGGCCATGCAGAGAATGAAGGTACCACAGCTGACAAGCGCAGCCTGGTTGCCAACTGATTGCAGTTACAGAACTGACCCCCACAAGACTAGAACTATTTATTCAACTCACAAAATCATGAGAAATAATAGATTATTATTGTTTTAAGCCACTAAGTTTTGGGGAGGTTTGTTGTACAGAAATGGGTAATTTCAACAGTTATGAGCCACAACTGGAGCACTCTAGATACACAGAGGAATCTTAAAATAGAGAGTCCTAGTTGAGAGATCAGTTAAACTAGTGGGGTTTTTTTTTTTTTTGTATTAGCAAATTTTTTTTTCTGTGTCTCAGGATGACATTAATAAAAGCAATATTAAGATGCTTTCAAATAAGTAAACCAAGGAGTAATGCAGCCTAGAGAGAGGACTTTGCTTCCACTTATTATGTAATTATGTCTAGATAGGCAAAGTGCTGGAAAAACTCACTCAATAGATATTTATCAAGAATCTCTACTATGAGTGTCAGTATAACTTAAAAAGGGCTGGGCGTGGTGGCTCACGCCTGTACTCCCAGCACTTTGGGAGGCAGAGGTGGGCAGATCACGAGGTCAGGAGATCAAGACCATCCTGGCTAACGCAGTGAAATCCCGTCTCTACTAAAAATACCCAAAAAAATTAGCTGGGCATGGTGGCGGGCGACTGTAGTCCCAGCTGCTGGGGAGGCTGAGGCAGGAGAATGGCATGAACTCGGGAGGTGGAGCTGGCAGTGAGCCAAGATCGTGTCACTGCACTCCAGCCTGGGCAACACAGTGAGACTCCATTTCAAAAAAAAAAAAAAAAAAAGAAAGCAAAAAACCTAAAGAGAAAAACATATCACCAATTTCTAAGGAAAGGTGAAATTTTGAACACTCAAATAATAATTTTTAAAAAATAGCCAATTTTAAAGTTTACCTAGTTTGGAACATCAGAGAAGTGTTCCCCTCTTCTATTTTCTGGAAGAGATTGTGTAGGATTGATGTTCATTTTTTATTAAACATTTGGTAGAATTCTCTTGTAAAACCATCTGATTCTGGAGTTTCATTTTCTGGGGGTTTTGAAATTGTGAATTCAATTTCCTTAATAGGAGTTATGGGACTATTCAAATTATATCTTTCATGTTGAGTGAAGTGTGGTGATTTGTAATTTTCAAAGAATTTGTCTACTTCATCTAAGTTGCCAAATTTCTGTGTAGACTTCTTCACAGTATTCCCTTACTATTATTGTGATGTTTGTAGGGTCTGTAGTAATATTCCTTATTTTCTTTCTGATGTAGGTAATTGTGTCTTTTCTTTTTCTTTGTCAGTCTTGCTAGATCAATTTTATTGATCTTTTCCAAACACCAACGTTTTATTCATTGGTTTTCTCTACTGTTTTTCTGCTTTAAATTTCATTGATTTCTGCTCTTTATTTTCGTCTTTCTGTTTGCTTTGGAATGATTTTGTCCTTATTTTTCTAGTTTCTTGAAGCCTTTTATTCTACAAGAAAATACTACTTTAGTTTATCATCTATGTATGTGTTTTACTACATTCAGTGTAGTCATGCACTGCAGAAAAGACGTCAATGGTGTATACGGACCATGTATCCAATGGTGGTCCTATAGGATTATAATGGAGCTAGAAAATTTTTATTGCTTAATGATGACATAACCATCCTAATGTCATAGCATTATGAACTACACGTTTGTGGTGAAGCTTTTGTTAACAAACCTACTGTGCTGTGCTACCAGTGCTATAAAAGTCTAGCACACACAATTATATACATGACATAATGCTTGATAATGATAACATATGACTGTTACTGGTTTGTGTATTTACTTTACTATATTTTATTGTTACTTTAGACTATAGTCTTTTTACTTACAAAAAAAAATTAACTGTAAAACAGCCTCAGATGGGTCTTTCAGGAGGTATTCCAGAAGAAGGCATTGTTACCAGAGGAGATGACAGCTCCACGCGTGTTATTGCCCTGAAGGCCTTCCAGTGGGACAAGATGTGGAGGTGGAAGGCAGTGATATGGATGCTCCTGGCCTTGTGTAGGCCTAGACTAATGTGTATATTTGAGTCTTCATTTTTAATTAAAAAAGTTTAAAAACTGAAAAAAATAAATTTATAAAAATAGAAAAAAGCTTCTAAAATGAGGATATAAAGAAAGCAAATATTTTTGTGTAGCTGTAAAATGTGTTCATGTTTTAAGCTGTGTTATTACAAAAGAGTCAAAAAGTTAAAAAAATTCATAGGGTTAAAAAGTTACATTTAGCTAAGATTAATTCATCATTGAAGAAAAAAATTCTTAAAAAATAAATTCAGTTTAGTCAAAGAAAACAATGTATGTGAAGTCTACAGTAGTGTACAGAATTGTCCTGGGCCTTCACATTCACTCCTCACATACTCACTGACTCACCCAGAGCAACTTCCAGTCCTGCAAACTCCATTCATGGTAAGTGCCTTATACAGTCTAGCATTTTAAACAATCTTCTATACAGTATTTTCACTGTAGCTTTTTGATGTTTAGATGTGTTTAGGTGCACAAATTCTTACTACTGTGTTATAATTGCCTGTAGTATTCAGTATAGTAATATGCTGAACAGGTTTGTAGCTTAAGAGCAAAAGGCCATCCCATTTAGATTTGTTAAGTACACTCCATGATGTTCGCACAATGACAAAATCACCTAATAACACATTTCTCAGAACATAGTCCCATTGTTAAGTGATGTATGACTGCACATATATTAGATATGACAAATATCTAGCTATCTAATATCTATGATTATCTAATAACTATACTTTCACATAGCACATATAACATGCTTCCTCCATATTCTTGTGAAGCCATCTAACTACACCTGAAAATAATAGTTAAACTCACAAAATGTGTGTGGATTAAAAAACCAAAAAATCAAACAATCAGACTAGTTGCTATATCCCCAGTGTGCTTAGAGGCGCCAATCATGACTTATGCCAGTAATAGGAGCAAATTATCAATGTTTTTTCCTGCTGCTCTAAAATTTTCCCCTAAGCAGTAACCAAGCAGTGGAAAATCCCCAGCATACGCGTTCATAGAGGAAGTGTATTGGTCACTAGATTTATCTTTCAATGGTGTGTTTCCAATAATAAATGGCTCTCAGAACAACAAAGAACCTGAGTGTGAAAAGGCTTAGGTTAGCCATTCAGCTGCAAAAAGACCAAAGTGTGGTTCAAAAGTGATGATTGGCATATTTTCTTCTTACATTTGTACCGGTGTTCATTTGAAATTGCTTGGTGTATTTTTAAGAGGAATGTAACAACCCACCCAATTGAATTTTAAAATCACACAATTATTCTTACAGATGTACAGACCCCAACAGGAATCTGAGACCAGAGTGATGAAGTGATTTGCCCAACGCTGCCTACCTGGCTGTCAGCAGAGCCTGAGCTCAGACTTCTCCACGTGGTTCCACCGTTTAGTCAACAAATATTTATTGATTGTCTACAACATGACACGGACCATTTAGGTACCAGGATGCAAAATTTTTTTAAAAAACAAAAAAACCTTGGCCCCACAGAACTGGCAGAGGAAGAAACACAATAAACAATTAATGAATTAACAAAGTAAATTACATAGTATAAAAGATGATGACAAGTGCTACAAAAAAAAAAAAAAAAGTTACAGCAGAGGAAGAGGAATTGGGAGCACTAGCAGAGATGCACTTTTTGTGAACGGTAAATTCTAAATAGGGTAGGCCTCTTTGAAAAGATGTGGAGGTAAAGTTAGCCTGGGGGCAATCGTGTGGGAGAGAACATTCAGCAGAGGATAGAACCAGCCCAGAGGCCTCACAGCAAGTGCAGGCCTACAACAGCTTCTGGGATGAACCTGGCATGCTTGAGGAACAGAAGTCACCTTTCTGCGACATGTCCTCTAAAAATCACAGAACTATAGACTCTTAGAGTTGGGGGAGCCTGAAAAACTGTGCAGTCCAACCTCCCAGCTGAAGCAGGAATGCTCTGCGCAGTAGCACAGATTTGCACTTGCCTGGGTTTGAACGAATCCCTCTAGGCCACGAACTCACTGGCTTGCAAAATAGCTCATCCCATTTTTTTAGCCACCTACCGTGGTTAAAAGTCTCGTCTTAATGTTGAACTGAAATCTGCCTCCTTTGGCTTCACTCTGTGATTCCACCTCTACCCTTTGAAGCAACACAAAATCCCTCTTTTCAACCAATTCATATTATTTCTTTGGTCAAGGACACCTGGGAGGCAGTTTGGCACAGAGGCAAGAATGTGAACTCTGAAGTCAGGCAGGACTGGGTTCAAACCCACTTTCCAGCTGTGTGGGCTTGAGCAAGTTCTTTCATCCCCTCACGCTTTGGGGCCCTCATCCCAGAAGACTGTTGGGGGCGTTAGAGACTATACAAGTGCACATTAAATGGCAGTTGTTCTGTATATTTTTTATCATCAGGGTGACTTATCTTTCACTTAAACACTGTCTCCAGGGCTTAGCATATACCACCCTTTGAGGAAAGCTAATTTAGATTCAGAAAGCCCCTGAACGCTTCCCACTTGTGCTCTCCATATACTGGCTGACCTTAAAGAAAGGAAAATCAAGTGGCCTGCCTGAGGTAGGTCATCTGTGATGGGAAGCACATAAACCAGATGGTATCCAGCTGCGTTTACCAGTTAGTTGGGGCAGAAGTTCTGAAATCAGAAGCCAAAAGTCGATGAAGAAGAAAAAAGCCCTGTGCAGTACAAATGTTTCAGAGTAAATCTGCTGGGTACCAGCACATACTAGGAATTTCCTAGGGGAAGAAAGGCAGGCAACACAACTAGACACCGCACCAATGAATCAGAAACACAGAATTATCTACCCAGATGCACTGAGCAATGCCCTTGCACACTGGAAGGTCACGGAGCCGCCCCTGCTGACCAGCTTCTTCCAGGAACTCAGGTATGAAGTCAGCTGAGCGACTTTAAGAGAAGTCTCCTAGCAGTGACGATGCCATGAAAGATTATGCATCTGTAAACAACAGAAGAAGCTATTATCATTTACTAGGTCCCACCTGTGTGCTGGCATTGTGTATAATAAACATTCTCTCACCTGAAAACAACAGGTAACTGACCTTTTGTTTTGGTCAAATTGTCCTTCTAAGAAGGAGCAGCCAGCAGTCTGAAGACAGATTTACTAATGACCACCTTAGTCCCCTCTCCCCTTTTCCACAGACTCCTTCCAATCGTCTCAGCCCTTCTTTCCATTGGGAAGGTTAACAAAATCAGCAAAGCAAGGCTGAATTCAGCCAGATTAAATCAGTCCACACAAAACCACTGAGGATAAACAAGTGTGGCAAACACTTGCCATGCTTAATTACCCTCTTTGAAAGATAATACTGGGTTTAAAAGAATCATTCTAGAACTTTCCATGCAGCGTATGTTTATTGGAAAGTCACCAAGCAGTGATGTGCAAATATAAATCTCATTTTTTGTTTATCTGTGTGCACATTTCTTTGATTAGTCCTCATATCTGCCTAGAGAGAGGAAAACTGATTTCAGGACAATTTAGACAGCTAAGACCAACTCAGTCATTTTTTTAGCCCCTTTGAACTGAACTGTAACAGGATCTCTCTCCAGTATGCATTCAGTAAAGTACAGGCATTATTATCATTATTACCAGTTTTCATCTAGTTTAACACTCCCTCTGAGCTTCTACTCGCCCCTTCCACCTGTCTGACTCTTAAGCTCCCACGGTCCCTCACTCTGATAATTTCCTGGCAGCCTCAGCCTCAGAAAGAGAAGGAAGAGGCCTCAACAAACCTGGCTGAGTATTGGTGATGGGGAGGTTCTGCATCTGGCTTGTGGTCCACTCTTTGGCTGCCTCCAGCCTCTCTGTCCTTGTCTGTTGCAAGCTGTAAAGTGTGGTGCACTTAATGTGCCCCTCTGCGTAGCTTTTGGACATGGATAGTCCCACAGGAATGCACTTCCTTCCCTTGCCCCCAAGAACCCATCTCTAGTCATCCCGCAGCTATAGGCCTCATTAGCAACCAGATTCTAGGGCTCACCAACTTCTATAGCTCATGCTGAGCCCATGGAAAGCTCACACGCCTTTGCCACACCCCACAGTGGGGACGTAGGCTATCTCAGACAGGTTTTCCCTCTCTCTCAGCTGTCCTGGACAACACCAGACTTTCAGAGGATTCAAGATGAGAAATGCACACCAACTCTATCTTCCAGAATGCTTCCTTCAAAAGTCATTGGGTGGATTCTCCTGGTGCCTCTTCCTTGAGATTGGGCAGGTCCAGTGCCTGCATTCTTCTGTAAGGCTAGAAGGCTCCACAAACCCTCATCTGTCCAAAAAGAGCCAGTCTCATCCCTTCCAGTCCCTTTGTATAGATCCTAGTGGCAATGCTCACAAACAAGGTCTTCTGGTTTATGCAAATAAATTTTGTTTCACACTTGGCAGGTCACCACTGAACCTGGCCACTGATAACCTAGATTCTATGGTCTTGGCAGTCACGATGTAATGGTGGGGTGCAGGGAGTGATGACAAGGAAGGAAAAAGAATAGAACTGTGCTTTGGTGACTTGAGTCATTGCTATATGTAAAAACAAAATACCTAGCATGCCCCTACCTTACACACACCTACACTCTACTCTTCCATGGGACAAGTGGCTACTCACTCTACTCATCATGATTATGAACTCAAAAACACTACATCTAAAAAGGACTTTAGAGATAATGCAGTCCAACTTTCTAAATTTGCAGATAAGAAAATTAAAATCTATATGTATGAAAACATGAAAAATTTTTCTCCTATAGCTATTCTTTTTGCCAGAAATTCTGGAGCATTTTAAGTGGAAGAAAATAGGTGCTAGCTATTTCAGTACAATCTACAAACTCAAGATAATTGAAATTACAGACAGAAATATTTTAGGTTGCACTTATAAACTGATTATTTCCAAGTTCCTGAAAAAAAACCTCTTAAATTCAAAGAATTTATCTGAGGGCTGCATTTTCTTTTGAAGAAAATCTTAATTCAGCTGATAGAAGTAGAAAAAAGTACTTGGAAAGCCAGACAGCTCCTTAGGGACACCTCTGTCCTCCTATTTGGAGAGGCTCAGTAAAGGGGAAGTGTGATTTATTAATCAGAGGATGTGATGGTTACCATTACGTGTCTACTTGTCTTGGCTATGATACACAGATATTTGGTTAGACACTGGCCTAGATGTTGCCGTGAAGATATTTTTAGATATGCTTAACATTTAATTCAGTAGGCCTTTTTTTTTTTTTTTTTTCCAGAGATCAGATCTTGCTATGCTGCCCAGGTTGGTCTCAAACTCCTGGCCTCAAGTGATCCCCCCACCTTGGCCTCCCAATGTGCTGTGATTATAGGTGTGTGTCACTGCACCTGGCATTGATTCAGTAGACTTTGAATAAAGCAGATTATTCTCCAAAATGTGAGTGGGCCTCATTCAACTGGTTGATGACATTGAGAAAAAAAAGACTGAGGTCCCTCAAGGAAGAAGTTCTGTCTCTATACCATCTTCAGGCTCAAGTTGCAACGGCAATTCTTCCCTGAGTCTCTAGGCTGCTGGACTTCCCTGCAGAATTCAGATTTCCCAGGCCCAATACTTTCATGAGCCAATTCCTTAAAATAAATCTATCTATTGATTGATTGATTGATCCATATCCATCTATCTTATAGATCAATCAATATTATACATATATAAAAAGATAAATATCTATCTATCTATTATCTACTTATCTATCTACACATCCTATTGGTTTTCTTTCTCTGGGGAAATCTGACTAATACAGGGGGTGTCACAATAACTTGATCAATTTGCAGTGAGTGACTCACACTAAGCCCCAAGAATAGTTCAGCTCTGTCTGTTCGTATCACCTAGAGAGACTCTGACCTTCCCCACAAGGTCAGCAACAGCAAGTGCAAGTTAATAAGACTGAGATTCACTACCTGGCCAGGATTCCCAGAGAAACCTGAACATCATAACTCATTTGCCTCCCTTTGTGCCAATGGCGGTTTTTCTGAAAAGATACTAATTATGAGAAGGAAAAGCCAGGGAAGTCATAAAGCCCAGGGCTAGGGTCTTCTATGCTTAGGGTCAATTTATCCTCTCAAGACTCAAAATAAACTAGCACACTGTAGTGAAGACCCTCTATTTTTATAAAAACTAATATGAAATTTTGAGGGGCTCTATTTGTTGCTTTATCTGTTCTTGACATGCAATGGTGAAGCCCTGCTCTTCTCTGTTTCACACAAGGCTCATCCATACCTGACTGGAACCTCCAAGTTTAATGAAGAGAAGGCAAATGTGTGAACCGAAGGACCAGACACAGAGTTGCTCTGTGCTTTGGACATGATGACCATTTTCTCCTGAAGTTTAGTGATGTAGAAAGTGTCACAAAGTGAAGTTGGCTTCATTTCAGAGGTTCAACATTGTCAGGACCAACACCCCTGGGATTCTTTTGACTTTTCATTCATGGTCACAATGTGGTTGCTTCTACTTCAGGCATGACTTTCACTTTTAAGGCAGGAAGGAAAGGCACAGAACAGCAACAGCAGGAAGACAAATGCTTTCCAATACTCCCAGCAGATAGTTGCTTAGGTGTCACTGGCCAGAACTTGGACACCTGGCCCCCCCACCTGAATAGCTGTAAGGGAGTCTGGTGAAATATTTACCTCTTCTAATCTTCTTCTTGAAGGAAGAAGAAGATTATAGTGTATCGGTACTCGGTATGAATCAGAATTATATATATTTTAAGTGCTATGATAAAATATTTTTGCATATAGTGGAGAAATATTTATGTAATACAACTGTTCCAAAATAAATATTGCTTTTAAGGCCACCCTGTAGGTCAGAGTTTTCCAAATTGTGGGTTATGAAATGTATTTAGTGGGACTCCACTAGAAAGAAGAGCAGGAGGAGGAGTAGGAAGAGGAGGAGTAAAGAAGAGGAAGGGAGAGATGGAGGATGAGGAAGAGGAAGATGATGAACAAATGGAAAGTAACAATAGAAAATATCAGGGTGAAACTTTGGTATCAGATATGTTCTTCTTACTCTTGGTTATTGTCAACAGAACTTGAAAGCTACCATTATAGAGCATGTGATTAAAGAGATTTTTGCATACACAACTTTGCTTTTACCACAGCGAGTTTATGCATATTGAACATGCCCCGCACTTGTTTAGAATCCTTACTCTTTGCGTCTTTCCTAGTCCCTTCTTCAAATATTTATTTCCTGCTTAAACATCTGCTTGATCCTGTTACTTTCTCTCCACTTTATTCTTTCCTGGAGCAGTCGATCACCTAGAACTGAGTAGTCTACGTTCACAACGTCTGTTTCTTCTGCACTTCCTCCTTGGAAATTGGCTTCTACTTCCCCCAACTCCCACCTCCATTCTCCCATACGCACTCTCCAAAGATCCTTAATGCTAAGTTCAGCCTTTCCTGGCCTGCCAAAGTTGTTCATCACTTTGTTGAAGGGTGTGTTTTTTGGCGGGGTGGTAGCTCTTATTTTTTAAGAAATTATTTGGCAATGCATCTAAAGAACCATGAAAACGTTTATACCACTTGGCCTAATAATCAAAATTCTAAGGAAAGAAAAGGCTAGAATGCAAAGGTGTTTATTATATATCTATGGAAAAATCAAAAGCAGCCTAACAGTTAAACAATTAAAGAGTGGCTTGGCAAATTATTCTTAAGAAATTATCACTTTCATTAGCTATGATGCAGCCATTAAAAATGATCATTACAGAAATTACGTAGCAATCTGGAAACACAGAAAAAAGCAGAATATAAATTGCATTTCTGCTATGATTATAGCTATGTTAAAATTAGGCATGTCTTTTGGCAAGAACTAGAAAGAAATGTGAGTAACTAGGAAGAACCACTAAAATCTAAACTTAGTCCTTAGCTTGCAGGTACAAAGCTGATTTTTTTCCAGAGTTTTCTAAAGTAGTTAGGATTAGATAGACTTAGCTGATCAAGCGCAGAAGAGAATCATG